CTTTTGCACAGTACTACAGAGGTGCAGGCTGAGCCACTAAGAATGCAAACGAGGCTGTCTGTGCCCCTTCCTGGCAGTAAGACCCCGGGAGGAAATGGGTCAGCTCTGAGGACTGGGGTGGTGCAGGGGAGGTTGGGGGCCTGCTCTGGGGTCAGATAAACAGTGTCCCAGAGCCCAGGGTTTCCTGGAAGGGGCAAGTCTCTGGGGCATTGGGACCCTCTGTTTTTTGAAGAGAACCAGGGCTTCCCTCCTATCCGCAGCTGTGCATTTCTGCAAGCGGGCAGGGTCTCTGGAGTGTTTACAAAGTCAAATGGACTTCGGGAACCAGCAGTTAGCGTAATGGCTATGTCGCTGGACTCCCACGTAGTCGACCGTGGTTTGTGTCCCGGACCCGGTGGCTTAAAACTCACGCCGGGCGCGTGTGCGTGCATGCCCAAGATCCCGAGAGGAGAATGGAGGAGAAGGGATTGCAGCGTGACCATCCCCCCTGGGGGGTGATTTCTCGCTTTCTGTCTCTATGTCTCTCTCTGTCTGTCTGGCGAGCGCACGCGCCCTTCAGTGAAAATCTCTCAAAAAAAAAAAAAAAAGTCAAATGGACTTCTAAAAATGAAACTGGAGACTCCCAGTTCCTCTCTTCTTCTGCAAAGTAAATGCATTTGGACCCTCTTGTAATTCTAGATACAGAAACTGAATCTGGAAAGAAAATGGCAAGCCCTTCTAATAATGCCTCCCAGCAGCCCACATGCAAGCTTCCCCATGTAGGTAGCATTTTACTGGATAATCCATTCTCCATCATTCAGATCATATCACCAACTTCTGCATTTACTAAGCAGAGCCTGCTCCAGGTCCTAGGCTATTTTTCTGCAAGCAGTATCTCATTTAATGATCTCACAGTCTAATGAGGCAGGACCTGTTGATACCCACCTTCCAAGCTGTGATGGCTAATATGTTCCAGCTGGTGAAACTGGGGCTATTTTTTTACTCGCAATGCTTCTGGCACCAAATGTGTGGGTTTTCCCCACACCAACCAGTCCCCCAGCTCTCTGAATATAACTGGGTGTCTGATGATCCACTTCAATTCTGACACTAATTACCTGTGGTTATAGTCAGACTTCAGAGAGTAAGAGCTTGATCCCACACGACTACTGCCACTTCAGATGCCGGTTTCAATTCCTGGAAGTCCTGTGCTTCTGACAATTGGCTATAAATACGGGGTTGCTATGACCCCCTTCTTGGGTTTGATAACTTGCCAAAATGGCTCACAGTAGTTAGGAAAGCAGTTATTTACCATTGCCAGTTAATTATAAAGGATACAACCCAGAAACAGCCAAATGGAAGAGATGCAGATAGGGGTGGGTGTGGCCCATGCCTTTTCTGGGTCCACATCAGTGTGTTCACCAATTCAGAAACTGCTTAGTATGTTAATAAAGGATTCATTACTTAGGCATAGTTAATTAGATTTTGGTGAATTAATTCAATCACCATTCCTTTACGTCTCCCTTGAGGTTGGGTGTGGGACCCAAAGTTCTAACCCTCTAATCATATCTTACTTTCTGGGCAACTGGTTCTCATCCTAAAACCATTTAAGGACCCTGTACCCCCAGGCGTCTTACTAGCTTACAAAGAGATACTTTGACCACTGCAGATCCCAAGGGTCTCAGAAGATCTTCTGTCAGAAGCCAGAGACCAGACCATATTTTATAATAAAAGATGCTCCTATCACTCCTGTCATTCAAGAGATCACAAGAGTTTTGGCGCTAGGTGTCAGCAACTGGGATAAAGACTGAATGTCTATTTCTTATTACATCATATCTCAAGCATTTGCCACTCTCCCTGGTGTAAAAATTCTCACCTTGGCTCATTTCAAGCTCCCAAAGCAGCACAATCTGCTGTTGGGAGCCTATGTGAGCTGGCTCAGCATACTCTGTGTGGATCCTAGGAAGGTTGTCCTTCATCTGTTTATCAAGTGTGACTTAGCTAAGCCTCTTCCTCAAGGATACAAGGTAAAGTTCTCAGTTGGAGGGTCCCCAGGGGAGTTTTTATCCTCCCTGAGGATGTTAAGGTTTTAGCGCCCAGGGGGCAGAGAAGGGGAAAACCCTCAGGGCCCATCGCAGTCATGTATACAGAAGAAGGTCCCACTCAAGGCTAATAGCACACCTCTTAACCTACTGCCTGTTCTCACTACTAGTGAGTGAGAGACAGTATGTGAAAGACAGCAGAGCTCTGTGGAACGTGCGGCTGACGGGAGCCACGTAATACTGTAATCCCACCCGTGCATGCACTGCAGCTCCTGCTCCCGTCCTCATGGTGTTAGATATGTGTACAGCTCCCAGCTTTCCATTAGTTATGCATGAAGGTTTCCTTCACAAACAGCCCTTGCTTGAAATTCCAAACTAGTTTTCTAAAACCTGAATTGCTCAGTCCAAGGGCAGAGACGTTTGAATGTCCTTGATTTAGACAGTCAGATTGTCCTCTGATACTCTCAGGATCCTTGTTCAGAGAATCTCTTTCAGGAAGAACAAATAAGTGACAACAAAGCAGGGTGACAAGTGCCAAGCTGGCTGGCTGGGTGTAGTGGAGCTCAGGGTATAGTTACAGTCATGCGCAGAGTGACATTTCATCAGTGTGGACCGTGCATTCGGCAGTGATCCATAAGAGTATGCCACATAGCCTAGATGTTGTCCACCTGAAAATGTGAACTGAGGTAAAGGATGGGAAAATTATTCTGGTCAAGTTCAAGGTTGGCGTTCTGGCAGGCATCCCAAATAGACATACTCAGGTTGCCCTGAAAATATGCATCAAGATCTTTCAGTCCTCAGGCAGTATTGTAAAGCTAAAAACCACAAGGAAGGGAAGGGAGAGGTGATAATTCCAGCTCTTTGCGGATAATTATCCCTGGCTGCCAGGATCAATAACAAGGATGACGTTAGTTCAGGTTAGGCAGTTTTTGTGGGGACAGGCCCTGGTCAAAGCTTGCAGTGGCTGTGAGGTTGTGGTTGTGAACAGCAGTGCTTGTGATCAGGTGTACCAGTGTGGGCAAACCCTCTCTCCACAGCCTTCTCTTGCATGGCTCAGTCAGTGTCTAACACAGGTAGACAGAAATGACTCCATTTTGATTTTAACAAACTTTACAACGTGTAGTAGCTATAGCATCTAGGTCTGAGTAAATGTACTCTCTGATGTTTGCCTAATGACAAAATTACCTAGTGACACCTTTCTCACAATGCACACCTGCTGTTACACCACACGTGACTGTGTTGGTGATTGTGAGCTCTACGTGAGGGCTCACAAGATGTAGAATGACAGAAGCCACAGTACAGTGTTCCTCAAAGTGTGTCCCTGGAGAAGAAGCAGCATCACTACCGGGAACTTGTTAGACATGCAAATCTCAGGCCCCCTGAGACCTATTGGGCCAGACGCTCTGGGGTGGACCCAGAAAGGTATGTTACCAAGCCCTCCAGGGGAACCCAATGTCTGCTAAAGTCAGAGAGCCAGTGCCTTGAAATGATGATAGCAGGTGCTTCTAGGCAGGTGGAACCAACAGGAAAAGCAATCCAAGGCTCTAGAAATTGAGAAAATGGGTCTTGACCTGCAGACCAAGTGAAGAGGCAGAGGAGGAGGTGGCTGTGTGGAGGACTAAGCAAGGACTGTGGGGACCAGAATAGAGCATGATTGTGACTGAGACTTTTTCATGGAGACAGATGGGGATGAGAAACCATCACAACAGTGTGTCGTTGTCAAAGAGAAATGCCAAGAGTGGATAATGAAGCATTTGTTGTGTACTACTGTATGTCAGAAACTGTACGTGGTCTAATTATCTAGACCTGGCATCCCTGAGGCAGGTACAGTAATTATTCCACTTTATAGACAAGGACACTGAGGACAGAGAGGGTGAGTGATTGGCTCAAGATCACGTAACAGGAATGTGGCTCAGTGTATCTTGCCCTGAGCTGCTCACACCAAAGTCCTTACCCTTGATGACTTGACTGTACTACACTGCAGCTCCAAGAGAGCTAGGAGACCCCATGAACAGTCCTAGTTCAGGTCATTTGAAGAGCAAAAATTGATGAAAAGTTGAAAATAGATTTGATCAGAAAAGGACTAGAAAGGAGAGGAAGATAATTAGCTCCTGGGAATCACCTGCTGATGATCACTGTGATGTCTCATTGGATTCTCCCATCATTCTCATTTTATCAGTGCTGAAACTTGGTGTAGAAAAAGTTAGGTAACTTGTCTCTGCACACTGAGGTTCAAATCCAGTTTGCCCTCTCCAAGTCCAGGCTGTGCCCATGCCATGCTGCCTGCCTTCGGCAGCTGCTCCCTGCGGGGCTCTTGACTTGTGCCTGGCACAGTGCCAAGCATGATACACTACCTGACCTCCTGAGTCGCACAGTGATTTTTAGTCTGAGGCATGTAGTACCATCCTTGTGTGCAGTTGTGAAAACTGAGGCCCAGAGACATGGAATGCTTCACCCAAATTCAGTCAGTAAGTGACAGCACAGGCATTCGAGTTGTTGGCTATGTTTTTAGTTCTGGCCTTCTTCTCTCTAAGACACAACAGGGTTATACATCCTCCTCCCTGGCCTCACTCCTAGCTGTGGCCCATGACATGTGACCAGAAGCAAGCCTGTCACTTCTAGGCAGAGGCTGGGAGAACAAGATTCAAATATGCTGCATTCTCTTTGCCCTGCCATGGCAACTGTCAAAGACCAGGGACAGCTGGAAACTTCCTCGGCCTGGGCCTTGGTGGAGAATGACATAGAGCAAACCCCTGCCCACCTGCAGCAGGCCTGTGGTGTGAGCCTTTCCCATCATGAGCCACGCAGAGGTTGAGATTACTGTCCCTTTGGCATAACCAGGCCCCTCCCAACCGGTGCAGTCTGTCTGCCACCCAAGTGCAGCTTTCTGCTGCCATCTTGTCTCTTTGTCAGCGCCATCAGAACTCAATGATGTTGAGGGGTAAAAAAAGAGCTAAAAGGCTACCTTTTTCTTCTTTTCAGTTGCTCCAAATAAAGGTCCCAGTTTCTGCCCTTCAGATGTTCTGCCTTTGCTCACAGAGAAAGGTAAGTGCATCACTTCATTTCTCTTTGAGAGTCCTTCGTCATCTTCTGCCTCTTGTCTCGGCAACCCTGGCTTTTGTCCAGAGCTTGCAGGACTCTCTCACGTACATTCATTCAAGCTCCAACCACTTATACACAGATGCAGGCAGGGCAGATACGAACCACATGATGTTACAGATGAGGAAACTCATGCACCGAAATGAAGCGACCTGGTCTAATGACACATCTAACTAGAAGCAGAATGGGACTGAAGCCCAGTTCTCCTGAGCTTCATTCCAAGCCACAGTCCCAGGGCACTGTCAAGAAGAGTGGTACCTGTGGCCAGCAATTGAGAGGAACCAGCTTCCTGCTAGTGCGAAGGCATCAGAGCTCACACCCATGACACTGGGTGACATGGCAATATCTAGGGATAATAGCCATCCGGATACTGGGCGATGTGGCAACACCTAGGGATGAGAGACAAGAGTCTCGACTGAGGCTGCTGTCCTCCTGTTCATTGCACACACCTCACACGGCATGCTCGGTCTGGCCCAGGGCAGCAGGAGGAGCAGTGAGAGTGGGCTCAGTGAGACATCCCAACGCCCTGGATGGGGTCCAGGGTGCCAGCCAGGGTGGGCCTCACTGCACTGGCTCTTCTTTCTCTCCTTCATCAGGAAGTGAGGAGCTCAGCCTGGGCTCCAGACGCCTCTCAGCAGAGGCCTGCCCTGTGACATAATGTCTGCAGGGCCTAGACATCTGTCATTATGGCCCTGGCTGCAAAGGTAGAACATGGCTCATGTAGGAGGGAATTATTTAAAGCCAAGGTTGTGGTTAAAAGTATAAAAATGTCCTTAATCCAAGTTACCAATTTTTTTTACTCAGTTAAAATAGCCAGCTTTGGAGGTCGTGGATATGTCTGATCTTTTTTGAGTGTTCTATACAGGATGTCCTTGCTAAGCACTTGACAGATGCCATCAGGCGCCAGCTTCCTGAAATACTCAAGGCAGGTGTTGGGGTAACCACACTGTGGTTGGCGTAGAGAGACCACGGCACCCCAGACACATAGGAATATGAGTCTGGGCCAGACTTGGTGGATGTTGCTTGAGAATTTTATCAGATACCATGCAAGCACAATTGAAGTAATTAAAAAGTCCCCGAAGAATTATGGTGCAAACCAAAACAAAATGCTAGTTCCACATGTCCCTTTCATCCACCTACCACACGGAGGCCACCTCTTTCCACATTTTTAGTTGCACTTTTTCATCCTGGCCTCCGTGTTTCTAAATCATACGTCAATCCTGCTAATTCCTTGGTTTTCTAATGTTAGAAATGACCACTGAGTCTGTGCCTGGATAGATGAAGCAAGCTTAGCTCCCTTGTATTACAATTTTTTGAATTTTCCTCCTTCATATTCGAAGACCAGGGTGAGCCTGAAGATTGGGGTGGAACAGGAGTGAAAGTCTCATTATCATGGCCACGTAGACATGGTTCACCGCAGAGCTCAGGGCAGTCCCCCCTGCACCCAGGGACTTTCAGGTCACTCCTGCCATTGGCCTCATCCCATCTGGGTTGTGTGGGCTTTCTTAGATGAGGAGAAGAACAAAAGGAAACCAGCGAGAGAACTGAAAAGCAGCAGACTCTGTCTGCTCTCCTTCCTGCAGGCCGCTGGAGTTTCTCTTCGTCTTCTCAGCTGAGTCAGTCAGCATGATGTCACCTCTGCTTCTTTTTCTAAAAGTGTGTCGAAATCCCTAACTGCTGTTCACTCATTCTCGTGTTTTCTCTTTTTCTTTTTGTTATCTTTATGGGCTTAGACTTTTCATTCCTTTAGTTCATTTGGTAGGGGTCCATGGAGGGAGAGAAGGTAAACATGCCGTATTTCATTAAAGGCAATAATATAGTAGTTTTTGAAACGTTTGTGTGTTCAGTGAGGACTCCTTGTGTCTTCAGATCTGTGCTAGGCATTTACTCTTCGCACAAACCTCAGGAGACTGGTTCTTTATAATATTTGCATAGAAAATGCCAACAGTACAGAAATACAGAAGGAAAACCCACCCAGTTACTTAGAAGCTACTCTGTCAGTTCATACATTGCCTTGTTTCCCTCCAGTCATCCAGGTTTTTCTGAATGGTTTGATAGAGTTCTAATCCCTTCATGTATACTGTAGCAGATTTTTGTTGTTTTTACCTAATAATGCATTATGTGTATATTCCCAAATCATTACATCTCTCTAAATCAGGGGTGCCTGTGTATATCCATGTAGTCATTCATTCATTCTTCTTCCTCCCTATTTTGCAGTGCTCACTGTCTAGCGATGAATAGGCAAGCAGGGTCAGTGCAGTGCTAACAGCCACAGTTGTCACATTATGCCACTAGTTCACTAACCCATTCCTCTGTTTTGGGACATTTCATTATTTATGACTCTAAGCATGCCACAATGAATACCTTAGAACCTAAAACTCCTTCCAAATTCCAGAGTATTTCCCAATAATTTCTACAGAGTGGACTTACTGGGTTTTAGAAATTTCTATGTTAGGCCTCTAGAGTGACAGTGCTTAGCCGGTCACAGTGGTTGTCCGCAGTTGCATACTTACCAGCTATGAATTAAAGTGTTTTTGTTTTTCCATCCTGAAATTTCATCCCTGAAACCTGTTATTTATTGAATTTATAAAGAGTGCTTTGATAGCTAAATGTCAAATACTTTCAGAAATGTTGAAACCAGAGCATAAACAACTTTGGGGGATTTTACAGTGCTTCCACTCTGTGAATGCTAAATATTTGGATTACTAAGATGTGAATTACCAACAAAGGAAAAAGAAGATAGAGTACTGACCATCTCTCTTCATGTACCCTTGAAGTCCGTGGGCCTGAGTAAATGTTTCCACCGCAGAATTAGATGTCATCACATTTTTAAACGTGTCTTTAATAAGTGTGATTTAAAAGCAGAAGAGATGTCAGAGCCAGCACCCCATCTGTGCCTAGAGTTCCTGGACTGAATTAGAGTCTGGGCATGTTTCTTCAGTGTGAATCAGAGGGAGGAGATCATCCTACCTTCAGGGTGCTGATGTCAGCATGTAATTCTGACATGGGTTATCTGTGTGTGTGTGCGTGTACACAGACTTGCATGTATGTACTCTACAACTGTGAAGTATTATTCACTTTCTGCACTTTCCTGGCCTGTGCAGGGACACACAAGTAGTTGAGTATTGCCAGGCCTGCAGGAGTGTGAGGGGGCGCTGGATGGGGACAGAGACCAAAATATAAAGCACCTTGGGTACCCCAATCCTTAAAGGGGTGTAATCAGTCAACAATGAGTGCCGAACTGTTTGAAAGCTTTCACTTTGCATTCAGAGGAGTGTGCACTGGTGGATGGACAAGCTAGGTTGGAGGACATGAAGGCAGTGGAGTCCTCTGTGTAGAACATACCATTTCACTCTCTTTGGGTAAAAATTGTAGGATTTTTAAAAATAAGCAAAGCAGTAACAAATGTCATTTTCTTCACAAGAGAAATACCCATTGCATCTTAAAAGATCTGCCTCTGCCAATCAGGAGAGGGTGCTCAGGGCAAGCAGGCATCGACCGCTGATGCCCCAGACCTGCCTGGCTGATAACTACTAGCTCCTTCAGGCCTCCCCTGCAGACTGATGCTGGATCTTCCAACAGCGTATTCCCAGGACAACTGCCATTTTGATTCCCGATTGCTATTTCAGAAACACTTTTCTCAGAGGCGTCTCTGAAGTAAATTTAGTATTGGGACTGGGAGCCAGAGGAAAACAGAAGCTGTGAGTCTTTAGGAATTTATATTTTACGTTCTATGTGCTTTCACTTGAGGGACTCAGTGCGTCTTTTGGAAAATGCCCTGACTTTGAGCCTCATGGCAGCGGGTGCAGCACGTTGTCGGCAGCAGAGAGAGCCATGAGTGGGGCTGAGGCAGAGAGGGCGCCAGGTGAGCAGGTGACAAGCCTTACTCATGGCTGTGGGCTCAGCTTCGCAGTTCCTGGGTCCTGACCTCCCCTGCAGCTCTAAGAAGGGGTCAGGGGCTGAACTCAGGAGGGATGGAAATGCCAGTGGCTGCAGGGACAGCCTTTGGGCCGCAAGATAAAAGGAAGTCAAGTGTCTGCTCTGGCTCTGCCTCCAGCCTGTCCTTTCATTGTGTTCATGGATTGATGGAATTCATTTGATCTTTTCTGTGAGTGGTTTTTGTTAAGCTGAGGTAGAGTTATGTGATCCTTCAAAATGTCTGCACTGGCGGGAACAGGGCACGTGCGTCTCGTCTGATGGAGGGAAGCAGTGTGACACCTTGAGCAGCACGTGGGCCTTGAAGCCCGTCTGCCCAGCTTCTCTGAGCACCCTGGGCCAGCTTCCTTGGACTCTCTTGTTTTATTAATAACACTTTATTTATTTCTTCTGTGAGAGAGAGAGAGAGAGACAGCACCCCCAACAGGGTCTTGATGCTGCCCTCCACCCCCGGCTGCAGCTGGAGTCAATTGATGGGCACATGTGTCTGTACTTGGGGGGTCTGCACATATGGACCTGGACCCTTCCCATGTGGGCACAGAGCATCGCGTGTCACCACTGCACCACTGTCCAGCTCCGTTCTCAGCCTCTGATGACTCTGTTTGCCTCTGTGAATGCAAACGGTCACAAAAGGTAAGAAATATCAATGTAGTGGGCTTGAGTTAAAGAACAAACGACACGCAGTGCTCAGCACAGAATTTGAAGAGCGATGATTAAGAAATGCCAGCAGTCATTCTGTAGCCCGAACCTATTTTTCAATGAAGAGGAAACTGAGGAACAGGATGAAAACGCGACTCTCTCAAATGGCAGTCAGTGGAAGCAGAGCTATCCAATTATATGTCTTCAAAATTCCTATTTATTGCGTGACTGATTATGCCAGTCACCAAGCTGTATGCTTTCCATATTTTAATCATCACAACTGCTCTAGAGGCGTGAGAGACTGAGTTCATTTTGCCAATGTGGAAGCTAAGGCTTAGAGAGACCCGAGTCTCATACCTAGTCAATGGCAA